GGTGCAGGACTGCTTTTTTCCTCCTTTTTTCACATCATGTCGTCTGCCTGGATCTGTTATTATCTCGCTCTGAATCACGACGGAGTGTCAGAGGTAAGCTCGCTTCAGCTGCTTTTTACGTCGTGGTCTCATTTCCGGACTCAGGCATTTTGTGAATGAAGCCGATATTTTTGGTTAAAATACATAAGTAAAAATATTTATCCGAGTATAGTACTACCTCCCAACTTTATGGATGATTTTATGGATTAAATTTTACGTATTATACTTGAATAAATACGGTACATGAAGTCATAACTGTCTATAGATGACAAATATCTCAAGATTTGAGCAAATCCAGGTTTTGATCATGTTGTGTGTTTATACCATCTATAAATAAATTAATGGGTCATATTATTTACACACAAGTCAATTAGGTAACCAAAACTACAAGTCAGGGTTTCCGGTTTTTAATCAAAGTCATTCTAGTGGCAAAACAGTTCCTCAAAGTCAGAACCCTGGCACATATAAAATGCAGATAATTAAATAACCAAGTATGAATAATTCTTCACAACAGCAACATTTCCCTCCTCCCAATTAGCTCGCAGCACACTCCAGTTTTCATTTAGCATCTGTAAGCTCAACACAAAGTGTTGTTCTGGACGGGAGCCCAGCCTGCTGCACTGTCAAAGTATGAGCTGTGTTACATAGAGGAAGGAAATCCAGTGTGGGTCTAAAACACAGAAGGTTCTGTTTGAGTGGATCAGCAGGAAGAAAGTCACTTAAAAAAATCTACATATAGCTCAAAAACTCTTTGATGGTACTGGAGTTTCATGCGTTGGAGCCCGTTTGGAAGCTTTAATTCAGTTAAGATGACTATCTGTCAGCCTGAGTGAAGTTGTTTTCACTTCACATGTTTTTTCTATTCTGCTGCCCCCGTGTTTGTGTGTTTCACCGCAACACACCCACACAGAAACGAAGGGGGGGATCAAAACAGGCTGACGACAACAACTAAATGACAACACTGAGCTGAAACACACAGAGTTTAATCTCCATCCCTCTTTATGATGATGGGATTGGCCTCTTAGGTTTGTTATGGGTTAAAAAAAACACTAAATACTTTCATGTTCTTAAAAAATATGAGTATCAGGAGGAGGAAAATGAGGTACAGAAATAAAAAAAAAACAGTAATTATGCTCAGAAAACAAAATCTATTTATTTAAGTATAAAATATTTACCATACACAACAATTTTAGTGATACAAAACACTTATTGATGCATTTAAATTACCTTAAAACTGAAGTGACTATGGCTTGTTTTACATAAACACTTTTCATTCCAATAAAATGCTTAAAATAACGTAAAAAACTGCTGACCAACAATTAGCATCAACGCTAACGAGGGTGGTTATTGTGTTATGTGACCACATGAACGGTAATGATGGATAAAAATATATTTGCTCTGTCGAGTTATGTCTCGTCACTTGCTCACCTGCACTGGCTGGTCGCTGTGGCAACCCAGGTGACACCGTATTTCTCTGGAGAGCCGGTTGCTGCGGCGATAGGAGGTGGGTATCTGTGAGCGGCGATGACGTGACGTAGGAGGTAGTTACCAGTGCGTTGCCAGGATTAGTGAATTGCAGCGTGCCCTGATTGGTTGCCTGGACCGTGACCGGCATGAACGCCTGGGGCTGAGCAGCAGTCTGCTATAAGATCATAAAAATATATTTTAAATAAGAATAAAATGTATTCTTAATTAACTCTGGAACAATCAAAACAAAAACAATCTTTTCCCATACATCTTTAAACTTTTTATTAGTTCCCTTTCAGTCAATTCACTCGGTACAACATCATGTATGGGAACCACGCCCCTGCGTGTCCTGGCTGAAGCC